ACAGCTCTCCTTTATAACTGGGAAGCTCTGGGCACACATTTTTACCTTCCCTCAGATATCACAGTCAAGATTCTACCATGGAACCGAGCACATTAACCTCCACCTCAGATCAGGAAGAAGGGAGAGAAAAAGAAAAAAAGACTATGCCAAACACGAGAAGACAGTGGTCTACCTGTCCAGAATAGTAAACTACTCAGTAAGCAAAGAGACAACTGAAAATTCCCACATTTCTATTTCTGTGATTACCTGACTAGTATCTTGACAAAGCGACAGACCATGAACTATGAGGGATAACTGAAAAATGACCTTTTTGAAATACATCGGTAAAAATTAAGTTGAAAATTGGTTACCTGAATAAAGCTCAGAAAATATGTTCTTGCAAATTTCAAAAATATATAAACAAAATCAATGAAAATTATAGCAATTACGTTTTTGTCTTTTGAATGATTTTCATTCTATAATTATGATATGTGACTTTCCTAACAGTCTCATGCAAATGATAATTAACTCTAACAATGTTTATAAACATGCACAACTCTTGTTTTTTTCCAACATGGTAAAATGTACATACATAAAACAATTTCTGCTTTTTAATAGGAAAATTGAGAGAATGCTACACAACCTCCTTCTGAAAGTAGATAAATATTTGAAGAATTCCAGTGACCCCCCCCCACTTGGGTACAGAATCAGATATTCTTGGATCCCCAACCATTTTAAGCCTACAATTCAATTTATGCCAGTGGGATTTTTTAAGTAAGAGTTAAGCACTTGTCCTAGCTCATATATCCAAGTTTGGCTGAAATGTGCTAAGGCTGACATTTCTCCTGCACAAGACTACACAGGCTGGGGTAAATGGGAACCAATCTGTGTTGGCATATATTTGATCTGGAACTGGTTGGTTTGCTCCCAACCCCCACCTGTCTTTGCACCTGGGAAAAAGAGCTCTGTATTAGACTGTTCAGGCTGAGCACTCCTCCAGACACACATCCGTGAGCTGACTCTGATCTACAAGGAACATCTGGAGCCAGAGGGCACATCACTATGGCAACCCTCCAAACCAGATCCAAACTACTAACAGTGCTTTCTCTGAGGTCACATGTAGATCTACCCCCGAAAGACGTGTGAATAGATATTCTGCAAACATTATCATTTTATGTATAGAAACCACTGAGTGGTTTCTGTCTTCATCTCGTGACACAGCAAGAACACCAACTTTGCCATTTAATTACAGTCACCGTATGTCTCCGTGTGCCCTAAACGCTCTAGCTTTGTACTTGCTATGCTTGTGTAATTGTGAGTGGTGCCCCCTTTCTCCCTGAAAACTGTCACAGACTACACAATAAATTACATAGGCATCTACAGATGGGCCCGTTTCAGAAAAGGGACAGGCAAGAGGGTGAAACCAGAGGCAAGTTTGTTTGGTGATGTTTGTAGACCTACTGCTCTGGGCTACCTTCCACACTTTGTCCTGTGACTGTGGAAAGTACATAGGAGACTCTCTTAACAATGATTGTAAAAGTCCAACTAAATAATTCTCTTCTTCAAATGTAGAACTAAGGGGCAAAGCAAACAACAGGTCTTTTTTGTTCTGATTTCAAGGATGCCCAGAATCACCTAGAGCCTACTCCAGATAAGGCAAACTGCGGGATGGTAATAATGTGGTGAATCCATCCCTTTTACAAGTGAAGGAGAATCAACACTTACGGCAGTTGTACTTAATAAATGCTTCCCCAAAAATGTGTCTCATGTTCTCTATTATAAGACCCATGCCAAGTGCATTCAGGTACTCAAAGGCAGATGTGGCCAACAGCACACAGTGTCTGATGACTGCAGTGGTCTGCTCAACAAATATTAATGCCAAAGATTGAAAGTGACAGTCCTTAGTTCTTTGAAGCCAACCCTCAGATGTGTTTTATTTGACCCAGAGAGGATTCTTAAATGTTTATAATATTTGCTAATAGTTTAAAGTGTGGACTTGTTCGTAAAAATCCTAATTTCTACTTTCTCTTGGGAAATCAGAAGCTCTGGCAACACTGAACCTATATCTTGTTAAGCAATTTCTAACTGGAGCAGAATAGCACCTTAAGAAAGGACATCCACTACCTCGTCCATCACAGTCCTTGCTCAACCCTCTTCCCAGACATTTGAATTTGTAACCCCTGATTTATGGTTGGAGATCATCCTTAGACGGACAACATCTGGCCTTTCAAACTGACAAAAAGGAATCCATATCTTGAGATCAGCGATTTTCACCCAGTATACCACCAAGCATTTTATAAATATGCAATACTTGACCATTTAGTCAGGGGCACTGACCTCTTTTCCCTTAGATTTTCAAATAAAAACAATGAAAACAGCCCTTGCCGGTGGCTCAGTTGGCTGGAGTGTTGTCCTGTAACCAGAAGGTTGCTGGTTCAATTCCTGTTCAGGGTACATTCCTACATTGCAGGTTCTATCCCCAGTCTGGGCGCATTACTGGAGACAACCAATCGATGTTTCTTTCTCTTTCTTTCTCGTTCTCTTTCTCTCTCTCCCTCTCTAAAATCAATGAACTTATTTTTAAAAATTAAAAAAAAAAATTACAACAGCCAACACAACAACAGCTGCTGGTGTGAATGCCGTGTCTTGAACCATAAATATATACAGGTCCTATACAGGCTGCATCTTATTGGTCACACTGCATAGTAAGAATGCACCTGACTGATTAATTCTTTGTACCAGAAATCCTTATATACAGGTATAGGCACCTGATTTATTGAAGTCACTTTTGAGCGCCCTGGCTGGTGTGGCTCAGTGGATTGAGCGCTGGCCTGCGAACCAAAGGCTCATCAGTTCCATTCCCGGTCAGGGCACACGCCTTGGTTGTGGGCCAGGTCACCAGTAGGGGGCGTATGACAGGCAACCACACATTGATGTTTATCTCCTTCTCTTTTCCCCTCCCTTCCCCTCTTTCCAGAAAGAAATAAAATCTTTAAAAAAAAAAAAAAAAAAAGCTATCTTTCAAAAACAATCAACCTAAAAAAAAAGTCCCTTCGGAGCAAAAAGGGTAGGTAATTACTATTATGGGGGGGGGGCGTTCTAAAGCAATCAAAATTATACCTATTTTTGTGAAATCGGCAAAAAATCATGATTTTTTTGGTGTGCTGCAGAATTTTAGTAATTAGTTTATGTGAGCCATGAGATGAAAAAGGCTGAAAATCACTGCTTTACATAAAGACTCAACTGAGATATGGCAATAAATAGGACATGTTATGTTTGTTTGTTTTTTAATCAAAGAGCCATATGGCTTCCACTGCTCCTACAGGGCCAAAATGAGAAAATGAACCTAAGCATATTATTACTTGTGAAATAATCACATTGAGCCTCTAACACCTAAATATATAATGAGATAAATAAAAGTGGTCTCAACAGCCACTGTTGAGAATTCAAGGTGCCATGACCCATAAACAAACTTTGAGCACCAAAGAAATTAGCCATAATGCATCATGTATCAGATCTGAAGAAAATAGCTTGAATATAAACCACCAAGAATCATGAAATGCTCTTTAAGTTCCTCTAAAAAATACAATTTCTTCCTCCTTGCTGACAGAGTCAAAGTAGGTGATAACTTTCGGAAATAAAGAACATGCTGCACGCCAATTTCAGAACACAGGTGAAAGATAAAATAAGTTCTGAACAAATAAGCAGAACATGAAATTTATCTTAATCATGTTTAGGATCTTAAAATAATTTTTAATAATGTATCTTACCATAAGTATAACAGTGGTCACATTAGTTAAAATTGCTCTCTTCACGTTGGGAGTTCTGTTAAGATATTAAACTAGTTTACAAAGTGATGAAATTTAAGACAAAGAGCTTTTATTTTCCTCAATTCGGCTTCGGGCCTTTTCTAAAAATCTACTAAACAAACACAAAGGCTTTCAAATACAGATACTAGACTAATGATTTTTTGAAAAAAATTAAAGCCTTATTTATAGGCTATTTTCCTCATCTGACTATTAATTTCCCAGATACCAGAGGAACAGCCACATGGTGCAACTGAGACTTTATTTATTTATTTATATTTAGACAACACTTCTTCCAAGGGATCTAAAGCACTATACAAACATGAAATAGCTACCTCTAGAATAGTATTTTGGTGGCTTTTGGCATGGTAAAAACTCTTCACACATTTTTTAAAGCCTGTTTTCAATGACTCACTATGGCAAAGTTTTGTTTAGATTCCTCTCACCAGTAGAGGAAAAACCGCGCCAGTTTTTAAGGTCTAAAAATGCACTGTTTGGTAACAGGCACCTCGATTTAGTAAAACTCTGGAGAAATGATATTAGAAAACAGATTTCGACCTCTTCTGTGACACTGATTTTTAAATCACACAAGTAGGTATTGATTCCGTCTCCGATTAGCGTATAAAATCATTTTTAACAAGTCTTTCCACCCAACATTTAAATGCAGGCTCGTACTTTGTCGAGAATCTGACAACGTCTAGTAACTTCTCCTAAGCCTCGCTCCGAAACAGCCTCCCACACGGAGACCTGCAGGTGCTGCTGTGACTAGGATGCGACCATCTAAATGGGCTAAGGAGCAGAGCTCCACCGAGAAGGAGAGTGAGCGCGGGGCCCCTAGAAACCCGACCCTCTTCCGCGTTCCCTCTTAGACACACACGCACGCCGCGCGATCCTCTTGGGATGCGCGCTGCTCTCCGCATCCTCCCGGGGCGTGCCCACTCCTCCGCTGTCCAGCGACTACTCTGCCTCCCTCTCAGTCCCCTGCTCCAGAGCGTCCTCCTATCCCGCCACCGGACCCCGACTCGCCCAGTCCCTAGCTTCCCGACTCAGGGACTGAGGAGCTGGACCATCAAGCGCTCCAACGCGCCACGTGGAGAGAACGCGCCAGCAGCCAGCCCACGGCCAATGTTCAGTGTAGGGTCCTGGCGCCCCCAACCCTGTTATCCCTCCCGGGTGCTCCGGACCCTCCCCCACGCCCTTGAGCCATCGCCTTGCCTGATTCGGGTCTGTGGCGCGGAAAACGTGGCAGGCCATCTGCGACTCGGGGTCATCGGGCTGCGCCTTGATCAGGTAGGCAAAGTAGGTGAGGTCGTGGCTGTTGTGGATGAAGCGCGAGATGTGCTGTGCCTTGTGCTCGAAGATGAACACCGCTGTGCTGGGCTGCCCGACTGCCGGGCCGGAGCCCCCCGCTGTCCCAGTGACTGGAGCCGGGACGCAGCGTAGAAAGGGCGCGCTGAGCACCAGGAGCACCTCGCGTGCCGCCGGTGCCCCGCAGCCGCCCGCCTCGGGCTTCTGGCTGCGCCGGCGGATCTCGGCCATGAGCCAGGGCAACATGGGCAGCGTGGTCCTGCGGTCCAGGCACGACCACCCCACGTACCACAGCCGGAACCTCTTATCGCCCGGCTTCCCAGGCCCCGGCTGCACTGAGGCTCCCGACTCCGGCTCCAAGGGGTGTGGGAAGGGCTCATCCTGAATGCAGCTGGGGGGCTCCATAACTCGCGACTCACGAAGGCACAGGGGCGGCGGAAGAGTCGCGCCGCTTCCCAAACTCTCGCGCTGAAGGGGCTGCGGAAACTATGTCAACTGCCCCACCGGGACCCCGCGCCCGCTTCGGCGCGACCCCGAACTCCGGCTTCAGCGGCCCTGCCCCATGCGGCACTTCTCCGGGCGCGGCTTGCAGGCTCCGGCAGCAGGCACCTAGGGAGCGCCTGGCAGCTGGACTGGCAGGAGAGGGCGGATTAAATCGTCATCCTCCTTCCTCGGGCTCGCGCCTGAAGGCCGAACTTCCCCCTTCCCCCGCCGCGGTTTTGCTCGGTCGGAGGACAACGCCGAGGGCCCCTCGTTGCCGCCGCCGCGGGTGGTTGCCTGCTCCTGCGCCGCAGAGCCGCTGCAGCCCTCGCGCTCGCCTCGGGCAGGCAGGGCAGGCACCCGGAGGCTGGGCGGGGAATGGTCTGTGGGCGGGAGGGGGTGTCTGGGGGCGGAGTTGACTCCTACCAGGGTGACCGGCTGTCACCTGGAAGGTCGGGGCCGCTGGGCTTCCAAGCAATAGCTCTTTGGAGAGAGCCTGCTACCCGAATGGAAAATAACAAAAACAAAACGTGGCTTCGTAGGGGCCGCTCCGCCTCTGTTCGCTACAGGCCGGCTCACTGCTCCTCCTCCAACTGTTCCCGTCCCTCCCTCGCTCCTTCCTTCCTTCCAGGCTGCTTCTCTAACCGGGCTGCTACCCCGCCTCCCATCCTACGAAAGCGTAACTGTGAAGTCGCCCCTCCGCCTCTTCCTCCTGCCCCCGCCCCAGCCCGCCCCTCTGATCCGCCACTGGGGCAGCAGTCTTGCGCCCGGCGCCTGCACGCCCCCAACCAACTCGGTCTCTCTCAAGTCGCCGGGAACTCCGTGCTCTTCTGGGCATCTCTGCTGCCCCCTGGAGAGGGGGCCACTCTCACTGGGGAGCTGGGATTTTTAAAAAATTAGTAGTAGTAGTATATGTGCATGGTTTCAATCCCGTCTAAAGATTGCATAACAACTTCTGGATCTAATTTCTTAATCTCAAAAATACTCGAGTTTTAAATCACAATATCACAATAAAATATTGTAATTCCAATTTCACGTAAAAATATAGCATTGTTTTAAAAATATGAATCGTCTTCGCTCTTAATGTAGCCAACTTTTTAAACTATGGAAAAATTATGTTCTATTTATTATATATACTCAGTTCAGAGCTAGTATGGAGATTTCTCACCCTTTAATATATGGTAAAAAAAGTTTGGGATAATTTGATAATTCTAATTTTAAAACAGAAATAGTATTCTTTATTCATTTTAGCAAAATGGACTCTTGTCTTCTTTTTTTACTCTTACTGAATTGTAATTAACAGTTAGATAAAAGGCCCTGACCCGTGTGGTTCATTTGGTTGAGCATTGTCCCACAAAGTGAAAGGTTGCAAGTTCGATTCCTGGTCATAGCACATGCCTGGGTTGCAGACTGGTCCCCAGTTGGGGCTCATGTAAGAAGTAACCTGTCAGTGTTTCTCTCACTAATCTATGTTTCTCTCACTAACCGATGTTTCTCTACCTCTCTTTCTCCCTCCCTTCTCCTCTCTCTGAAAATAAATAAAATACTTTTTTAAATTTTTTTTTAAAGAATTAGATTAAGGGTAAAAAGCATAAATGGAAAAGACACTGAAAATTCCCAACTTTTTTCAAAGTGCTTATAGGAAGAATGAAAATCCAGGTTTCTCATTGTTTTTAGTTTAATGGTAGCATTGCTTTCTATGAAACCCAGTGAATATTTTTTACCCTATATATTATATGTAAGATCACTATGATACACTGCCATTATTCCTATGCTGAATTTTTGGGTGCACCTTGACAGCTCTCTTGTAAATATGCATCTAAGCTTCAAGATGGAGACATTAATTGCTTAGTTTTAGTCACTTGACTTAACCACCCCCACCACATCGTTGTGCAAAATAGGCCTATATCTTCAACAAGCAGTGAAAAGTTCTTAAAATGTAGACTGAAACCTCCTAGAACCCTGCTGAAACTCTCTCATACAAATGCCATTTCTCTAGGCCACATATCTGAGATCTAAAAAGAGAAAGAAAAACACAAGTATGTGGGGAAAACATGAAAACCTTAAGGGTCCTACTGAATCAACCAGCTTCTAGAACTAGGACTGACTTTGGAGCCCCAGTGGACCATTTCCTACTGGTAAAAGAAAGTGAAGCAATGAACAGCTTTCACTTAGTGACAGAAAAACAGAAGTGTCTTTTATTGCATGACATCTTATGTGTGATTGCTTCCTGCTCTGGAATGCCCTTAGCCATTTCTTTGTAACTTTTTGTGACGTTTCTCTTACAGTGCATTAATGAATAGCATTACTCTTTACCAATATCTGATCCTCTCTGAATCCTGACACATGAGAAGAAGCTCTTCTTTGCCCCCTGAAGTTAAGTATAGTCGCAAGACTTGTTTTGAGAGTGAAACGTGAGCAGAAGTGACTTTGGTCCCATCTTGAGTAGAAGCATGAAGTTGCCCTAGTCAACCATCCACCCTCCTCTTGCTCTCCAGTCCCACTCTTCCCTCCCAGTGGTCAACATGGAAATAACATGCAACACATGGAAGCTCCTCCTGATCAGAGCAGCCCAGGATGCTGCATCAACACAAGAATACAGTCATCCTGCAGAACCTCTCAGGCCCACAGCACTCTTCTTATGAGTGAGAAATAAACTTTTTTGTTCTGTTAAAGCACGGAGATTTTGGAGTTGTTTACTACCTTGTTGTCAATCGATCCTATCCTATTGAATAAAATTATTATACTATGGTATATAATACCTTGTGCCTTTTCATTATCATTTATACATTTGACTAATTACATCCGTGAACAAGATGGTGTGCTATCAGTTTCTTACCACCAATGTACATCTGCAGAATCTTAGAGAATTGCATGCACATAAAAAGTGCTCAATTATAAATCTGATCACTTGAACTTAGAAAAAGATAAGAGAACAAGATACAATTTTTAAATGTTTGGTAGATATTACACCCATATGCAGGTCTATGATGTTTACTCAATGGTGGGGCCATAAGTCAGCCTCCAGCTTCTGTGCTCAACCCCACATGTCACCGCCAAAAAGGGCCAGAGAATATGCTCATGGAAAGCATTTCCAACAGTTTACCAAGACATGTCCTGACGACTCTTGTAAGCACCTCTACCTATGATATCCAAAAGTAAACACATATTTTTTTTAAATTTTCCTCTAATATCCCAATCTAAATTAATAGTGTCAGCTTGAGTTAGAAGCTACAACATCCAGTCAGATCCTAGTTTAAAAATTTGTACTACATGATCAATGTAAGCGTCTGAGTAAATGTGGTGGTTTAAGACTACAAAGGTTTGTTGAAATCGCTCAACTTGTTTCTTTGCTTCCAGGCACAAGTGTGCGCTCATGCTCTCTCTCTCTCTCTCCCCCCGCCCCCCATTTTGTTACCCCGTCCCCAATATCTACTTTTCTTTCCTGCATAAAATTCTCTAGATGAAGTCTGGCCAGGTGAGTAAGTTGTTTCTAGAGTCCTCCTGTTCACCAAAAGGTTGTGTCAAGTAGGAGATTGGATCCCCTGTCAGGACACACACCTAGGTTGCGGTTAGATACCCTCTTCCTGGCCCATTTCCTCCAGGGGCAGGTGAGAGGCAACCCCCCCCCCCCCCCCCCGTCAACATTTCTCACATACTTCCAGGTCCCTCTCTCTCTTTCTCTGCCCCCTCCCCCTTCCCCTAACTCTAAAATCAATAAACTTATCCTTGGATGAGGACTTTTAAAAAATTCTCTAGATGAGGACATATTTTCTAAAGCTGAAAGGACAGATCTTTCTAGTCTTATATTTGCTGTTCCTCTCTGCCCTACTCCCTCATCCAGACAACCTCTCCCTCTCCATTCCCAAATGTCTTCCTTGTCTCTGTGGGGCTTCACAGTCTTTTTCCGATCTCTGAATGCTTCCTACTTCCCTGCCACCTGAATTTCCCCCATCCTTCACTACTTGAATTCCTTGTTCAAGACCCAACCCAAAAGGTATCCCTTCCATGGAAATATTTCTTATTTCCTCAGTCAGAGTTAGTGGTCTTCTCTTCTATGCCGTCCCTAAATAAATTCCACTATTACGGCTCTTGTCGCATTCTTTATTATTAATTATTGGGTGATTTGTCTGTGTTCCCCACCACAGAGAAAGCATTTTGAGAGAAGGGATTATTTTTTTGGTCACATATTTCATCCAGCAGAAAGCACAGGAGCTGACACTTAATAGATTCTTAGTAAACATTGAGTGAGTGGGTTGAATTGAATAAAGAGCAAATTAGCTCTGGCCTCTTCTCCCAGTTGGGTATAGCATCCTCCGCATACACAAATGATGTGGGTTCCATCTCTGGTCAGGGCACATATCTAGGTTGTGGGTTTGCTCTTACACTGGTGTCTCTGTCTCTCTGTCTGCCTGTCTTTCTCCCCTTCTCATTCCCTTTCTCTCTCTCCCTCTCTATCTTTCAAAATTAAATTAATTAAAAAAAAAGAATGAATAGCAAATTAGAATTTAAGACATTAAACATTAAGAGGGCAGTTTTCCTATCACAGAGGTGATGTACCACATGATTTAATTAGCTGATATCAGGAAAACGTACTAAACATATTCACCAGGTAATTATACAATACTAGGAAATAATAGAAAGCTTCTTTTCAGGGCTTTCCCCCAGTTGTTGCCAGTTCCCGGTGACCTTCCCGAGCCCAGGCAGCCAGGGCACACTCGCTGCGTCTTCACAGCTTCAGGGAAAGGATGACATAGCAGAACACAGATAACCAGAGTCCATTCTTAGCTTTTAGGTTTCAAAAGCTAAGGACAAGGACCTGGCAAAGGCAAAAGATTTAGAATATGTGCTTTGAGTTGGTTGCTCTGGCTTTAGCTACCCAGAAAGTTTCTCTAACTTGGGAAATGGTGACAAAGAAAGAGGGAGTAAATAAGAGATAACTACTGGAAAACCAGATAGACAATGTATGACTTTCAAACATATATGTGTGTGCATATATATATATGTTTGTATATATTTTTATATGTATAAAAATCTGTATTCTTCCTCATGTGCGTGTGTGTGTATGTATTTTTTTTTGTAAATCCTCAACTGAAGACATGCTCAGGGAGGGGAAGAGAAAGTGAGAGAGAAACAGGAAAAGGTTCCCTGATGGGGGATGAAAACCACAACTTAGGCCTGTGCCCTGACCAGAACTTGAACCCTTGACCTTTCAGTCCACAGGATGACACTCCAGTCAACTGAGCCAAACCAGCCAGGGCTCAAAACAATAGAATATTGATCTATCCTGGGGGAAGAAAAGGGAATAAAAAGGGGGGAAAAAAAAAAGGAAATGAAAATAAAGTGCGATAATTAGAAAACTTAAAA